CGGCGGAGTGGTTGTACACATTCGAGAGATAACCTCAGAAGACTTTTTTTCTGGTGAAGCAGAAGACGACCGTGGGGGAATATTAAAGTTTTCTGTACAAGCACGGTCTAATGGATGAATAACATGAGATTGGGTACAAATTAAAGTCATTGTAGTTTGTCAGATGCAAATTGCCAACAAGGTCTATTTAGTTAAGATTATAATATTTGGGGTTTTTATTAACAAGAACTTTTTAGTTAAAAAATTAAAAAAAAGAAAAAAGAAAAAAAAGTAAAGACGAAATATATATATATATATATATATATTATTATTATTATATATAAAGAAAAAAAATATATTGAAAAAGGTAAAGGACTGAAATACTTTTTGAGTCTATATATATATAAATATATTTATATTATATTATTATGATGTAACGACCAGTTGACAAAGCTAGACAATAAGTGGTGACTACCTAATATAAGAGTGAAGGTTTCGTCCAAGCGATTTTTTTTTCTACAAAAGATGAATATTTTTAGCAAAAAATAGCGAATGTGGAGAACAAAAAAGGTTAAAGAGGGAGATTGAGTTTTTTCACCACTGGTGAAATTTAAAAAGGGACGGTTCAATCAGAGCTTGAGATTATTTAAGTAGTAAATATGTTAGTAATTCGTATGACGTAACTCTGACTCAAATTTACCGGTTTAAATTGTTTAAATTTGCTACGCCAAAGAACTACCTAACGCTAAGAACAGAAATTTGGTATTTTACACCGGACCCCAGCAATTGGGGTTGTAATAAAAGAGGGATCTGGCAGGTGAAAATTTAAAACAAAAGTGTGGCTACATTACCTTTTCGTTTATCAATTCCAATTTAAACAAAGCAATCTAACGCCACAAAGAAATTTCAGGGTTCAAAATTTTTATTTGCCCAATTTCCTTTTACTTTTTTTTTTTTTAAATTTCTATAAAAATTTCTAAAAAAAAAAAAAAATCCAAATCATCCATTTATCGATCATTATCATTATTTTTATCATTATTTTGATTTTCACTAAATTTTCCTTATTACTCTTGCTGTTGTGTCCATTATTCTATTCGGCCATATTACGCACGAAATACTTGTTTAATTTGTTTTCGGCCTTTTTTTCTTAATCAATTGTAATCTTGTTTTTTTCCTTAAATATAGGATCAAATGTCCGGGACTACTCTGCGGATTATGCGGAAAATGTAATAATTATGTATATATTTATGTATTTGAAGAACCTATACACAATGATCTTTGCCCAAAGTGGATTAAGTGGATTGTTCTTTCATCAGTTTCTTTCCTCTCGCAGATTCTGTTCACCAAACAAGAATCTCAGAAGATTCTATTTAGCAAATAGGTCTGATGATGCCCTTGCTTGTGCTGAACTTTTAGAAATAATGGGTAATTCAAGTGGCAGCTCTAGCAGCCCTGTTTCTCAATCTACTTCTCCGGACAATGTTCTTCATGTTAACTCTACGTCTCTTATTGTAAAAGCTGATCAAGACGACAAAGACCTTGCTAATAAAAATGATCATGGCCTCACTCCTCATTCTGGTGCGATTGAGATTGGTCAAACAAAGCAGAGACCTGAATCTCGTCCAATGCGATTGCCTGTTGACAACTTTCATTTGATTTTTGGCTCTTCTCCAATTACTCGTGCTCATAATCCATTACCCATGGACTCCCATTTCTCTCCAAGTAAACGTCATCATCATCATCAAGCTCAACCATATCCTTCCCGTCCTGCTCTTCATCAAGCCGCTAATATTCAAAAAAGATTGTGTGACACTGTTTCTAATGTCCAAGTCGGTGGTGGTTCCCTTGATGATTCCGTTCAACCTCCTCTTTCAAAAGCTTCTAAAGCTGCCATTTTATTGCGTATATCTGAAGGTGGTAGACGTAGATCCTTATCTGTTGGAAGCGCTGGGTTAAAACCTGGTAGCAAATTTAGTCGTGTGTAAATCAATTCGATCTCTTGATTCATATATAGTTCTCACTCTCATATCTGTATATATTTTGTTAAACTTTTCTTTTGCACATATTTTTGTTAATTTGCGCATTTTTTTTTTTTTATATATCGTAGAGTTTTTTTTTTCAAAAAAGGAAAAAAAATTTTGTACACAAACTTCCGCATTATACTTTTGGTTCTTTAGTACATATGTTATTTTATTATTTTATATATCTGCAAAAAATTATTTTTTTCTCGCATTTATATTATTTTTTTCATCTTATAATTTATTCTTTGGGTCATTGTTGTTGAACTTTTCGCATAAGATAGTTAGTTGTATAGCAAGGCGACAAAGTTCAATTATTTCTTCTTAAAAATGATGACCAACTCAAATTTTACAATCTTATATTATTGTATCTTTTACCCTTTTAAATTTGTTTATATAATTTTGAAAATTTCTTGTTAGAGAGTGAGCAAAGAAAATTTCTGGAAATTAATAAATCTGTCTATATTTTATTAATGATATATTGTCTTAATAAATGGTGAACATACGTATGTACCTGTGAAACTGTGATAGAACTGTGATAGTGACAATAGTGACAATCATGCCGTGTGATTATTAGCTAAAAATAATAAAAGTTAAAAAGTTTTTGATTTATAAAAAAAAAAAATGCGACCTTGTTATTACGAATTATTAGACGTTGAACAATACGTAACCGCAGAAGAATTAAAGAAAGCCTATCGTAAAAAAGCTTTAGAATGGCATCCTGATAAAAATCACCATCGAGTTGCAGAGGCGACAAAACAATTCGCTCTCCTTCAACAAGCTTACGAAGTTTTATCGGATCCAAACGAAAGGGAATGGTACGAGGAATAGTTAAATTCGGTTCTTTTTAGTCCTTTTTTTTTTTTTTTATTGTATACATTATTGCTCTTGCAGGTATGATAACCACCGAGATGCTATTTTAAGAGAAGGTATGTGTCATATAAATATAATAAAAATATAAGAGTAACACTTCAACTATTCAACTCGATTTAATTTGTTTCAATTCGATTAATATCGTTTGATTTTTTTTCTTTATAGATGATGATATTGATCAGGATGATGGTGATGATTATTATGATAATTCCAAGACTAAAGTCAGACAACCAAGTGTGGCAGGAATTAGTGTAGAAGATCTCATGAAATACTTTAACATCGGATGTTTTAGTGGTTTTGATGATAGCCCAAAGGTATGTCTTATTATTATTTATTGTTATTATTGTTATTATTAAAAAAAAAACATTTTAAATATAAATATACATTCAACGATATTTTATTATTATCATTTTAAATATCGACGATATTTTATGATTAGGGATTTTATACAGTTTACGGAAATATATTTGAACAATTAGCTAAAGAGGAAGAAGCAGCTCATGCACGTGATCGAGATGAAAATTCTTTTGAATTTTTCCCTTACCCATCATTTGGTGATAGTACTACTTCACCGGATCAAGAAGATTCAAAATATGGAAATTTAATTAAATATTTTTATCAATCATGGTTGAATTTTTCTACACGAAAAAAGTTTGCTTGGTTTGATAAACATCGTTTATCTGAGGTAAAATATAATGATTAATAAATTTTGAAAATTATATTATATTTATATATATATATATATCTATATATAATTAATCAAAGTAGGCACCAGATAGATGGGCAAAGAAAAAGATGGAAGCAGAAAATGAAAAGTCTCGTAAATTAGCTCGTAAAGAGTACAATGAAACTGTTAAAGTAAGTTTCTCAATTATTCCATTTAAACTATTTAAAACATTTAAAAGTTTTATTACTCATTTTTTATAATATATTCAGTTACTAGTTGAATTCGTGCAAAAACGTGATCCACGTTATAAAACTTATAAGATGGCTACTGATCAAAGAAATAAAGCTCAAGTTGCTGAAGCAAAAAAACGTGCTGCCCGTGATCGTGCTGAACGTATTTCTAAATTACAAGAATATCAGGAACAAGAGTGGACAAAAGTTGTGAATGATTATGAAGAAGAGGATGACAATGATGATGATGATGAGCCGGAAGATGAATTCTTCTGTGTTGCATGTAATAAAAATTTTAAAAGTGAGCAGCAATGGATAAATCATGAAAAAAGCAAAACTCATAAAACCAATGTAAAATTATTGAAAAAAGAAATGGCTGAGGACTTTGAAGATAATGAAGATTTAATAATTTCGGATGACCAAAATGAGACAAATAATAATGACATAGATGAAGTGGTAAATGAAAATACAGGAGACATTGAGGATAACTCGTTTACAAAGAATTCTAAAAAGAAAAAAAAACTAAAGAAGAAGAAACAGACTCCAAATTGGGGACATGAGGAAATCTCCGGTGATGAAATTGTTCGGGATAAGATAAAATCTGATTCACCTAATGATGACGATGAATTATCTGAACAATTAAACAAAATAAAAGTTTCTTCTAGAGGTGGTTTCGAATCTGAGGAAGATTCTAATAAAACTCAACCCCCCTTGGATGTTGATGATAATTCTAATAAAACTCAACCCCCCTTAGATGTTGATGATAATTCAATTCAACAAGAAAATGGTACTAAAAAAGAGAAGAAAAAGGATAAGAAAAAGTCTAAAGATTCTAAACAGGTAAAAAACATATATAATTGATATTACTTTATAAGTTTTCTTTATTAACTCTACATCTATTATCATCTATAGCAAAAGTGTAATGTTTGTTCACAGACTTTTCCGTCAAGAAATCAGTTATTTTCCCACATTAAAGAAACTGGGCATGCATTAAATGTTAGTGGTTCTGGTGGTGGGAAAAAGGGAAAGAAGTGATTTTGTTATTAGACAGGGTTGATAATTTATTAATTTTAAAAATACTTAATAAATAGCTTTTTGACTGGTTCAAAGCATTACTAATCTCCTTTATTAATTCAGTTTAGACTTTTTTCAATAATTTGTAAACAATGCTCTCATAGTAAACATCAAATATATACGACGTGATCGTACACACATCCCTAACTCCAATTGCCTAAAGTTCTAAATTTATGTGACCCTATTAATACACGTTTTATACAACGTCGATACATTAGTCGACCACTTGTCAAGAGAATTATAACGTTCTGTGTCAGATGACCTTGAAAAAAAAAAACAATTAATATATATGATTCTTTATTTATCATCCCCTAATAACAAATAATAACAAATACTGTAATTTAGTCAATACGTACTGCCTATATAACTCTAACCGTTGGTTCACTTGATCAATGCACCCTTTAATCTTTTGATCAAGAACGAGACCAACCAGTAAATCTTCAACATCTTGTGCAGGGATATTAAGTTGCTAACATGAATAATAATAACAAATATTAATTACCATTATATGTAAATGAATTTACAAAATAAATAGAATATTCTTACTTTTGACACAAACGGTATCTCTATTCGTGTGTATGGTTTAATAAGACGAAGCAGTACTTGCGTCCTAATATTCTTGAGAACATCGTCAATATATGTACGGATGAAAGGATCGTCCATAATAGTTGCTCGATTGTCTAATTGTAAACGAAAAAAATAATGTAAGAAAAAAAAAAACAAATTCGATAATCAATAACTCATAGATTTGTCCCATTTGAAATTACAATCATACCTCTCAGAATTTTCTCGAATTCTCGAATTTCTTTGCGTTGATATGCGCTAACCAGATTAGTCATTGCAACAATTTGAGGATCATTTTTGTATCTAAAATAAAGAATACAAAAACAATCTATTACTAGACTATTACTGGACTATTACTGGAATTATGTAATCAAATACAAGAAGTAAATTACATACGGTTTTGTTTCTTGAGAATCAAAAGGATTAATTTGTGACTCTGTCAACATATTTGCAAGAACAAGGTATCTAAAAATTAACTGTGGTTGTCAATAAGAGTAAAATAAAGTAACGCTTTGGTGCAAACATATATTAGCTTACTTAAGAACTTGTATACGCTGAGGACTACCAGCTTCATCATAATTTTTAAAAGACTCAAAGAAATCAGTTTGTGCTTTGTCCCATTCCTCTGAAATAAATGTTAAAAATTTTGTTACCCATAAACAAAATATACAAAATATTTTATCTTTTAAATAAATACTCACTCTCGCCCATGTGCATCTTGCCACCACATTCCCGAATAACGCCCATTATACGTGGATGCGGAATTGCAGATTTGACGTGAAGACATTGTTGATACAGAGCCTTTTAAGATATTAAGAATGTTAACATTTGAAAAATAAAAATAAATATTTTGCTTAAGTATGAGATTAACCTTCAATTTTTTGTTATTTTTTGTTTCGGTATACATTTGAATTTCAAGAGCAAAGATTTCCAGTAAATGTGTTCCTTTACGCTGATCATCAGTTCCATCATCTTTTTGACATGATAAATGGAGTTGGCGCAAGATCTGTATAAAAAAATAAAATAAAATAAAACAAAATGATAATAATTTGCTTTTGTAAAATGACCAAGTAACAACTAGTTGAAAACTAGTTGAAATGATTGTAATTATATATTAACCTTATTCAGCCTATTATA